GTGATTCCCCCTTCCTGGACCACACCTCCTAGTTTATATACTGAGCATGATGTCACATGGTATGGAATATCCCGCTGGCCAGTTGGGTTAGCTGTCCTGGCTATTCTCCTTCCCAGCTTCTCCTGCACCTGGCAGAGCATGGGAAGCCAAAAAATCCTTACATCCTTAAGTAAGCAGTACTTAACAACAACTAAAGCATCAATGTGCTATCAACATTCCTCTCATACCAAATCCAAAACACAGCACCACACCAGCTACTAGAAAGAGAATTAACTCTATCCTAGCCGAAACCAGGCACCCAGGGCAAAACACTGGAATTTCTGCTCAGTGCATGTGGTGGGTGGCCATGGGCACCATGCTTCCAGCCATGCGGGCTCCAGGGCGATCTCCTGACCAGCGCCCTCACTCATTCCTCCCTGCCCTGACCCAGCACCTGCCAGAGCCTGGTACCCTTTGAATGTGTTCTTTTAGATAATCCACATAAGGAGGGTTTGGTGCTTAATACCAAATTTACTTCTCTATAGGCATTTGATGTTACATTGGGTTTTGATTTAGCAGAGTGATACAGCAATGTAGTGAAATTGCAGTACAAGCACAGTACTTGCGATATATGGTGGGATTGCCGTAGAAACGTGATGCCCATCACTGGTCTCCTGATGCTCCACTGTCATCATGCTGGGCATGAGCCAGGTGAACCTCCCCATGGTGGCCAGGCTTGTGCAGGAGGACACCTGAGCTCCTTTGGTGACATCCAGAGTGAACAGTGGCACAAGCAGCTGATCCACCCAGCTGAGAGGCGTGTTTGTACAACAAGGGCCCCCGTCCCTTTGCATTGAGATCAGCTCAGCTGCCTCTGCGGCCACCCGTGCCCTCTCCTCTGCACCTTCTCCTTTGCAGGGGTTTGCTGATAGGCCTCGGCCCCAGAAGCCGAGATGGCTGGGCCTGTGCAAAGGCAGGTGTGGACTCAGCATGGGCCCCACTTGTGCTCCTGTCACCAGCACCGATGCGATGCTGCAGCTGGGCAAATGCCCCTGGGCTAAACACACGACGGGCCTGCTTCCACTTCCAGGCGGTTTACCTCAGTCCCAGCGAATGGCACCCTTTGGCAGCAAGACGGGGCGAAGCTCCCCCTGCCCAGCAGCTCAGCCACTGGACCCCAACCCCACCTCACCCCCAGCCGTCCCTGCTGTGTCTGTTGTGGGGCACCTCCCAGGAGCAGCTGCCGTGATGGTGCAGCGCCGGCCTCACCAACCCAGACACTTTGCATCCAGCCCAGAGGGACGAACCAGGGACAAGGTCTGAGCACCAGAGGCAGCCCTCTCCTCCCCGCCGGCCAACTGCCTGCTTCTTACAGCGACTGAAGAAGGTGCCAGATGCTGAGGGTGGCCTGGGACCTTCAGCCAGTACAAACTCTGCACCTGCACCACCCAGTGCCTCCCTGCTGTGGCTCTGCCTGGCCACACCACACACCCAGCCAGTGCCCCTGCACCCAGGGAGGAAAGAGCCTTCCTCGTGTGGCCCAAAGGCTTCCACCACACTTCGGGTCTCGGTGAGAACTGCTCATGCCTGTAGAAATCACGCTGAAAAAGAGAGAAGTAACATGAAACCTCAGCTGCTGGATGGACATGAAACTGGTGCTTTTCTGAAATGATGGCGCAAGGGGAGGGGGAGACAGGACTCCAATAGGCAAGAGGAAAGTGTCTCATTCCCAGCTCAGGAGCTTGCTGGTGGTGCTCCCAGCAGCACTGCCAACAGCCCCTCTCCACCGAGCTCTCAGCACCCACAGACCAGGAGGAAAAGCCTCATGCTTCCTCCTGCAAGGAGGCCACAGTCCAGTCAGACCCCTCCTGGA